ATGAGTGTCCCACAGGAGTGTCCCACAAGAGTGTCCCGCAACAGTGTGGGACACTAGAGTGTCCCACAGGAGTGTCCCAGAAGAGTGCCCCACAAGAGTGCCCCACAAGAGTGTCCCACAAGAGTGTCCTACAAGAGTGTCCCACAAGAGTGTCCCACAAGAGTGTCCCGTAAGAGTGTCCCACAAGAGTTTCCTGCAAGAGTGACCCACAAGAGTGTCCCACAAGAGTGTCCTACAAGAGTGTCATTTGGACATATGTAGCTTTTTGAACGTGTTTGCATTCGGGTTCGTGGGCTCCATCTTGTTCGATTTGTGACTTGAAGAAAAACCATCCCTCCCTTCTAATCCCCCTAAACATGGAAGTGGACTTAAACATGTTTCAGGGATTTTAAGAAGGATCCAGGGGCAGCCTTCTGCTCCTTCAGCTGCGGTCGCACCACACAGACAGGGGCACTATAGTCTCAATCACAGAGCGTTTTCTTCTTTTGCTCGACTCCGCCCGAGTCCGCGGTCGCGCAACCCGGTTATTACCGCGCCCAAAGAAACCGTGCCCAAGACCCAAACGGAACAAGACGTTGTGGCGTTGATACAGACGGAAACAAGACGGACTCCCGTTCTCCCCGGTGTTCTCTTTGTCGGTCACGTAAATGTTTTAACATAAAAACCCCCAAATGAGCATTTTCATGTATCGCACCAACCTTTATGAACATGAAGTATCCCTTGTTCTTCTCTTGTCTCCCTTTTTTCGTCTCAACCTTCGACCCGTGGCCAGACGGACACGATGCCAGTGCACGACGACACCGGTCGACGCGTTCGGCAGGAAGATCACCTCTTCCGGCTGCACTGCATGCTGCTGCCTTCTGCAGGACTGGCGGAACGAAGGAGTGGACCGAAGCGAAGCTCGAGTCATTTCATCGCTGAAGGAAGGAGGTTGCGGCCGCAGGTTGCGGCCTGTTCCGGGTGTGAAACAGGGTGTTTCACCCAAAAACCACCCGGTTGGCCCGCGGTTTTCGTACGTTTTTCGGGTGAAGCAACGACCGGGTGCCAAGAGCACAGGTGAATTCGGTGACGGACCTGGAGGATGGCGTGGATCGATGGTGCGACTGGACGCGACTGGAGTCCAGAACTGGACGGTATTTTGACCGACTGAAGTTAAGCATATTCCTGAACTCGGGTCACCGTCCAAGACCATTCTGTTGATAGTCGACTGGACTCCCAGGGTATAGCTATTCATCATTCCGTACGAAATGTAGTCTACGGTCTACAGAATGCTCTGCTTGTTGGTCCAACAATGTCCCACATCAGTATTCGCTGAATTATATACATCCTAATAATTAGTGCGGGTTTCAATTACTAAAAGCTACCCGGCCTCTTAATTTGCCATTGGCTTGATACTACATGGAAATCCTACCCCTTCCCTCATCCTACCTCTTCCCTGTTAATCGTGCCGCCCAAGTTACTATCCCTACTCCCTTACCGATAAGGATATGTTACTGGAGGGTGGGATGTGTTACTGTAAGTGGATGGCATGGCCCCCACTTCGGATGAGCATGTTCCGAACAAACCTGGGTTGAACTGCAGTTTTGATGCTGCTGCGGCAGATGGACCTTCTCTCACTGATGGGGGACTCTGAAAGAAAGGTCACCCCCTTCAGAGCATCCAGTCCAACGTGATGAGATACACCCTAGGCTTCCAACCACCATTGATTGAATGGTTTTTACCGAACCATCATGGTTTTGCTGAGGATTTTACACACCACCAGGTCACCACCACCCTTTGAATGGGCTTATCACCGCCACAGCTGGTCGTTCCGGGACGATCCTTCTGCCGGTTTCGTGTGGGTCGCCCCTCTCGCAGGACGAAGCTCGAGGGCGTGTGATCTACACCGCACACTTGGGTGACAGGCCCGCCGGTGGACGGTTTGGTCTGGCGTCTGGTCGGTGAAAGGTTGGGGCGGTTTTTTTGCGGCAGCGGTGACGGTTTGGGCGGTTTGGACGGTTGGTAGTGGAAGATTTTGCTGGAAAGCTATGCTGCACGTGCTTGAAGCTACTTTTCACAAGGCGTGGACATCAGATTGATATGGAAGATGAGGGCTGCAAGAGAAGAAGTCAGGGGATGTCATGCAGGGGTCAGGGATTGGCAGGGGCTCCAGCCAGAATGAGACACGCCTCCTCCTCAGAACTTCAGCAACTAGGTCAGCAACTCTCTGAGCCATTTGGAATCACCCTAGGCTGTTGCCACAGATGTTGTGGAGGTTAATCTAATACTAAACCCCAGGCTTGAAACAACACTTCATTTAATAGCCTTAATAGCATTTACCGAACAATCATGGTTTTACTGGATCTTAGACCTATACCAAATGCAGGTCAACCAATGCCTTTCAATGGCTCCGGAAGGCGCCTGAGCCCTTCGTCCTTCGTTCCGCCTTGGCTCCGCTGCCTTCACGCAGTCGCGCCGTCCTGGCACGCAGCGGCAGCGCGACGCGCATGACATCGATGACCGACCATAAGGCGCGGACGTCCGTGGACGGCCGTGGACCGGCGGACGGCGGGACGTGGGGACGGACCGAAGGGTCTTCGGATTGGGACACGTGGACGGTGTGGGTCTGGGAGACCCAAGACACAATCTACCAGCACCTTCAAAGGGGTCACCTGGCTGGAAGCCCCTACACCACTAAGGGACCTCCAGCCAGGACACCCCTTGTAGGTCCAGGTACGTATCTCAAAATGATGGTGCCAAATAGAGTCTTTGGACTTCAGACGACGCGACGGTCGACCAAGACGAGAATAAAGAGAACGTAGACAATGTGGGTCTGCGTTTGTGGTTTTCCTATCGGTCCTATCGCTGTCCACCAGGCAATGTCGTATGCCTGGTTTTGCGGTGATTTTGTTCTCTTTGTCCCTATGGGGTAAATCTCCAAACCTGGGGAATATGTTATAACTTCTTCTGGTTCCTAGGAGCCACACATCCAAGTTGCAGTGGTTTTATCTTGAGAACGAATCGACCACCCGAAGAGACCGGGTTTTACATATGGCGACCGATGGCGACCATCGAACCATGCAAGACGGGCCCCCAAAAGACAGTATGCAGAACATATAACTCAAGCATGCAAATTGATGCAAATGGACGTTCATAACATAATTACAGATCCTCCAAAAGATTGACTAAGAACATGGCAAATCCCGAAGTCCAGACGGTTCTTTCTGTTTGTTGATATTGGATATATCTACCGAGCTTCGTGCACCTGGACTCGAGGCGACCGACCCTCTGGAAGCCAAGAGAGTCATTGAAGCCGGTGCGACACCGCCGGATCACCGCCGACTCCGCGGCACTCCGCGGCACGCGGAACGCCTCCCGTCGAAAGCTAGAGCCACTTGCAGAAGGCCCGTTTGGACCGGTTGGTCCAGTTGGATCATCTTTGAAGGCCCAGGCCCAGTCCCAAATAGACGGTCAATCTCTTAGATCGATTCGAAGGCGACGAAGCGGCGACTCCCGTGGAACCACGGATGAATCCAGAGCTGAACCAAGTTAGAACGGAAGTAGTTGACTCATATTGACTCCCAGTACTGATTCATGTGACTCCGCGATGTTGTTTTGACGGAATCGTTGACTTGACTCATGAAGGTAGTTGATGATTGAATTATTTGTTCCCTTCCTTTCCAACGGGTGGCCTTTTGAGAGATGGAAGAACCAAGTAGAACCCTGGTGGGACATGTGTTGTCCGAGTACCGCCCGGCTCCACGCCTGGAGTTGACCGAGGGTTGGAGCCTTTTCCCAGCTTGGCACCGGAGCCCAACACGAATCCTTCGGTGTTTCTTCCCCAAAGCCAGGCCCCAAAACAGGTGAAGACCCCTGAAGGCCTAGGCCTTCATGAACAGGCCCCAAAACAGGGTGAAGGCCGGTCATTCGCTTGGAATTGCCAAGGAAAACACCCACGTTCCTGTTTCCGATGGATGGGGATTTGCTAAAACACGGGGTCACCGGTCTTTTCGGGTTTTAGGATTCATTGGGCCAATCTGCACTTGAAAGGCGGGCTTGTTCCGAGAATTTGCAACTTCCATCCACATCCAATCTTGCAAGTCCTTGCATCTTGCTGCTCAAAAAAGCTGAGTGAACATAGGCGCCAATGACATGAAACGTTTGCTCCACTGAGAAGCTTGTTTCCAGGATTTGGGGGGCTTCAATACCCAAGGTATCCCAAGGTCCAGGTGTACTCATGGCGGCCTCATCGATGGCGTTGAGGAGTCATGTCAGCGCAGGATTGGACCAAATCTATGGATTCAGCCCCCCCTGGGTGGCTCAGAAGTGAAGGGGGCCGACCCTGACTTCCCCAACAATTCGCTCGATCTAGCCAGAGGTTTTGTCCATCACTCACCTGTCCATTCAGACCAGATCCGGGTCTATGAACTGGGGCTCCTGGCCTCGCGAACGGAGCCAGGTGGTCAGATCATCAATGACCGAGTCAATGGTATGCCCAGACCTTAGATGTGGCCTAACCTGGTCCAGCCAAGAGACTCAGAGAGGTTTTTTGTGACAGGACCCGTCACCTGGGGTACCCAACTGGGATCGTCACATTTCTTCAACCTCTGCAGGTTTACCAACTAAAACCTGGTCTGACCAATTCCACGCCGTGGAGCAGCTGTGTTTCGTTCCTTGGAAAGATCAATCAAGTGAGTCATGAGGTCCAGACCTGCAGCTTGGTGATCGATCCTGCTTGGCCAACACGGACTTTTCAACGAAGCCTTGAGAAACCCGAACAGACCCGAAACTCGCGCCGAACAAGAACCAGCTGGGCATCCAGCGGTCAGGGGTCATCCAGTCTGTTTCCTTGTGAAATCCAACTCCAATGGAGGACTCTTCAAGTCGGACGCAAAAGACGTTGTTGACATTATGAATAAAACCAAATTAGTAGAATGTTTGAGGGCTCGAACATGATTGAACAATCATGTGCTCCCCAGTCAAAATACACAGTTCATGCATGTTCATGCCCCTATAGCTCTAACCAACACGTCGAGATTCAAAACCCCTACTCCCAGGGCAAAACCGACGAATTATGTATTATTTCTATTCGTTTTGGTTTACTCGTGCGGTACATGCCAGACTAGAATATAGATGACTATATTCTAGCATGTTATCCACAAAAACCACGAGCTTTGCCAATTTTTGTGTCCTCCCTTTGCCTGGCGAACAACCGAAAAACATAACAACAATTTTATACACATTATACCAACTTTCGTCGTAGAAAAAACTGCTTTGAGCTTGAGCGACCTACTTTCTTCAGCTGGACATCCTCCCCTCGATTGAAGTGTGCAAGACAGGTGAAGACAGAGGCTGGACAACCTGTTGAAGATCACCAAACTTCTCGTTCGATCTGAGGTTGGCCATGACCCGAGCCCTCGGAGATCACATGTTGAAGATGCCGGTGCGGAACCGAGTCGCGGTGGCATGTTTCGACCCCCAAAAGGCCGAGGCCCCCCGGCCACGCGGTGGCAGGTGATCAGCCGATAAGAAGGAAGAGGGTTGATGGGAACTGAACTTGTCACCAGAAACACAGATCTTGGAGGGTAGTAGAACTGAGTAGAGCATCAGGTTTTTTTGTTTCTACTGTGTGAGCTGGCTGGTTGAAGTTGAAGGAAAGGGTAGAACTCGGTACCGAAACACACTCTGCACCTGTCACCAAAAAAAATGGATCAACACCCCAATGTTTCCAGTATTAATTTGTGAGTACCAAGCTTGCAGATTGACATAGACATGACAACGCCCCTCGACATATTGGTGACATGGCATTTCTCATCTGACATACGAAGAACCGCCTTCGTCCAATGGATTGTTCCATCGAAGAACGGCCTTCGTCCCGTCGAGCGTTGTCGGGATCACCTGGTCACCCGGTCGCTGCGGATGCGACGAAGCGATGGGGGCGCTGAGATGCTGGCGAATGACGTGGTGAGCAACGTGCCGGATATTACCTCCACGGATGTCACCAAGCAGGAGCCGCGAAAGAACGTGGGGTATGCTTTTCGTGACCAGCCCGGAAAAAGAAGGCTCAAAAGAAGTAGAACCTCATATTGGGGATCGGTCAAAACCTGGAGTTCTGGCCCATCATGTATACCTTTACTTTCCAGGTAGGACCATGACCAGGTGGTAGTTGGGAAGGAGAAGGAGAAGACGACCCCACACCAATTGACGTAGATGACCATCCGAACGCCTATGTTGGGAAGCTTCAAGAGCTCCTCGCTCCAGTGCTTTGATGAAAACCCAAGGGCGGCACCCCCAGGATCCCGGTCCACGTCTCCGTTCGGCTGGTCCACCCGCAGCAGTGCTCCAGCCGAATAGCTGGGACCCAGATGCTGCATGGAGATCATCAGATCCATGTTCTACACATGGAGAACGTGTCTCAAACATCTCAAGTTGGAGATGAACCAAGATAGCCCTCAACCAATGCACATGACATCATCGAATCGACATCTACTACGGTTACATATCTTAAACGTACAAAAGGGGCCCGTGGGCTGGATGGTCGTCTGGAGGTCTGGAAGCCCCAGCGATTGCAGAGAAGAGCTTTCAAACATCAAGCCAACCCTGTCCAGCTTCTTCCATTTCCCTCACCTTCCTTCCAAACTGGGTCTCTTCTATGACCAATGACGTCAAACCCCCCCAACGACCAGAAACAGATCACAAAGGGGACCACAGTCCACCAGACATGACACTGCTCCCAGCCTTGACCCCATGCAAGCGCGGTACCGCACTGCGTTTTCTGGGCACAGGCGGGATGCCTGGGAAGGGAGGCACAAGATGGGCACTCATGTGAACATGATCCAGGGTGGAACCAGGATGAGCAGCGCCTGAAAACGAGTCGTCCATGCTTATCCGAAGAGGAAGGGGTTGAACAAAGGAGATACCTATGTGCGTCGATTTGATGGACTGTATTATAGGGACACAGTTGGGGACGCAAATAGTTAATTGATTTCCATGCTGCCAAAAGGAGTGTTGAGGGGTCATGCTATTTGGACAGGAAGGCTGTACTGTAATCATTTAGATTTAATCAGAAGAGTCAGGTGATTTGTACAAAGACTTATTTTCTCAGTCGGATGTGGGCTTCCAGGGTTGCTCTCATGCAAAGCCTTTTTGGAAGCAGGGCACAACACATGTTTGCAGCTCTCGGTTGCGAGCAGCTGGCATGGTTTCTTGGACAGACCCACTTTACTTCACTGAAGTAGATGGCTGAACACTAGATGTTGGTCAGTTCAAAGGTCATCAAAGGTCTAAAGTAGACATGGAGGACATCCAGTGAAATCCAGTGTTCACGGTGCTTTTCTATGTTTTTCTCTAGCATATGCCGCTGGAGCCTTTCAGCAGCCATGTTTGGCACCCGTGGCCGACGCGACAGCCGTCCTCGATCGGCGGCCTCTTCGGCCGTCGGAGAGACGGCCGATCGGCGGCTTCGATGCGTGTGGCGGCGCTGGCCGCTCGGTGTGAAGAGCGCAGCGCAGCCTTGGCCAGTGAGGCAGCTAGATCAGTGAAGACCAGCTTCTGAGAAGATGTTGGGTCTTTGATCCGCTCAGTCAGTAAGGCCGCCGAAAAAGACCCCACCATCCCAAGTTCTTCCTTCCTGGGAAGGAACATCGACCAGTCACATTGGGCCAGGGGGTCTCCCATGTCCTGCATTGTCCTGCCTGCGGGGGCATGGAAGCATGCGACTCTGCTCGAGCTACGAAGGCATGTCTTGGAGGTCCTTCGTTTCTACCTTGAAACACAACCTGATGTGCCGCAAACCACACCACAGAACTTCTCTATAGTCACGAAGAATTATGAACACCCAGTGGCGACACTAGGAACCTCGTTTGGAGATGAGACCCACTTGCAAGTTGAACGCAGACACATACAGGCACGACATTGGATGTGTTATCAGGTCGTTTAGTCACATGTCTCTTGGGAAGCAAACGCTATGCCTGCTTCGAACATTGGGCTAAGTCTGTTCGTCCTTCCAGTCAAACATCGCGCGTGAAAAAAACATGCGGTTCTCCAAAGCTCTGCGCCACACTCCGCGGTAAGGCCACTGGACTCGCAACCTTCCACCACACTCCGCGCGGGCTTCACGCGGGCGTGGTGCACGCTGTCAGCGCGGCGTGTGCGGAGGAAAGGCCACGCTGGTTGCGGCAGCGTGAGGAGGTGGCGTTAGCATGGAAGCCCGAAGGATGGGAGGATGTGAGGTCAAAATCAAGGAGAAGGGGAGGGTGGAAGAGAGTGGTGCTGCCAGATCCTTTTGATTTTGATGTCACGTAATTTTCACGGATGCAGAAGCCTACGTACTTGTGGTGTGCAGAAGTAGAGCATCCTATACAAATTGTCCATCAAGTCTCACTTGGTGTCCCTGGATCAGATTTATGTCCAAGCTCTGGTTCGGGTGGTTCAGGTGGTTGGCGCGGGCCCTCGGGTAGCCGGGTTCGCTGTACATACCGGTCCAACTTGGGGCGCGCGATCCTTCGACCAGTCCCACGCCGAATGGGACTTGTCCCGTATATGTTATGGTATGTATGACATGCAAAATAGTATGCAATTTATGTTTCACATCACACAAAAGTGAAAAAACACCTTTGGTCAAAAGTGTGTTCGTAATATATACTACTTGCATCTACTTGCAATAAAATGAGAAGCCTCAGACCTATTGCGTCATTTCATGTCTTTGTTAAACCCGGCCCGTCATGTCATTTCTGAGTTAAACCCGGCGCGAAAGAAAAGTGGAAAACACTGTAATGCCGCGGTTCCTTCCTAATAACTCCAAACACCAGCGGCGCAGCGGCCCTTCGAGAGAGACGTCAGACCACATTCTCCCTGTCCTCTTCATCTTGCCGCTTTTGTCATACAAATCCACGATTTTGCCTTTCCAAACTTCCTTTTGGCTGTTTCGGCGGGTCGTGGAGCCGCTTTTGTTCTTTGAAAGGCTTTTTCACAGCCTTGGGCTGCGAAGCTTGGGCTGTGAAGCTGTGTTTTTGCCTTTCAAAGAAAACAACAGCCCCATGACCAGCCGAGACTGTTATTTTGCCTTTTTCTGTGCCACCCAGCGCGTCATTTCATTTCTTAGTGAAACCCAGGCCGTCATTTCATTTCTTAATTAAACCCGGACTGTCATTTCATTTCTTAGTTAAACCCGTGCTGGCATTTTCTCCGTTGAACCCGGGCCGTCTATTTCATGTCTTAGTTAAATCAAACCCGGCCCATCACTTCATTTCTCTGTTAAGCATGCGCAGTCTCTTCATTTCTGAATTAAAACAGGTCAGCCAATGCGTTTCTTAGTGCCTCTTTCAGGCGCTTTTGTTCACTATATATATCCGTCCAGGTCCTGAAATGCAGTTCGATTTTTTGCAGATGCAACTTCCTCGATGAACCGTTGATTTCCAAAGACATATTTTGTGACATAGTAATATTATGGGGACATACCTGTCGTTTGTTTGTCGTCTGTTGTGGTTGCTGCTCCATGACCTGGATTCATTTCCAAATGTTAATTCTTAAGAATCGACCTGCGGTAAGAATTTCGCGGGACGCCCTGATAAGCATAGGTTTCTTAGACCTTCCCTCGTGAGGCCAACGGGGCAATATGCTTTTTGCGTTGCAATTGGTAGGTTTGTTAGACCTTCACCTTCAGGGGTGTATTGCTAATGTTTTCATTGGTTGCCGGAGATAGCCAAGAGTCTTGAGCAGAGTCAATGTGTCCAATGCGCCTTTGTTAAGCAGGACCTTCGCAGCATGGATAGCCCGTGGCTTCGCTTGCACACAAGCGCTGGCCGTGAGAAGTTGGGTGCTGGTGCCGCTACAGGTGCCGCTGCTGTTTGTGCTTGGGGGCTTTGGTGCTGGGACCGCTGCATCTTGCCGCTGCAGTGTGCGCTTGGGAGACTGGGCGCTGGTGTTACTGCAGGGTGCCGCTGCTGTGTGACATTGGGAGCTTGAATGTTGGTGGCTGGAATACACCTCAGTCCCAGATATCAACGAACAGGTTTCTATCATTCTATCCCAACGGAACAAAGAGCTTGTCATTACGGGACACAGTTTGTGAAACTTTTTGTGGAGAGGGTTTAACGAATCCCGTCTGCAAAAGAAATGGGGTAGGAACATATTTATTAGAATATATACCTGATCATCATGCAAATTTGGTGGAGGAGGACCAAAAGTAGAGCAAAATTTTGTTTCAAAAAACATGGCAAACCTGGAGCTATGTGACTGATGCTTCAGTATCCTATTTCTGAGCTAGATCCACTGGACTTTCAGCAGATCAGTTCCATGTGATTAGTGTTTGAGGCACACTTTAAGATTCTTCCAAAGTTGTGAAGGTAGTACAGTTTGGTTTTTCAATTTATGGTTGATGGTTGCGGTTTGACTTGAACAATCCCCTTGCCTTTTTGTCAACCCTCAAAATTGCTTATATGTTCACCCCAAAAAGTCTTTTATATGTTCACCATTTGGATCTTTTTTGCACCTTACAAAGTGGTTTTAACCCCCTCGCATTGTTTTTTGATGCAGAGAAACCTTCCGGAACAATGTGACCCAGAACCTCCAGAAACTAACTTGGAAGCCTCTGGAATGTGGACAGGAACCTTCCGCAACCTGGAAAACACATCTAACAATAAAAAAACTGTATTTGTCTCAACGATTCCTTTTCCTTCAACTCTTCTTGGCAGCAACACAAATGGTTGGTGTGATCTGAGTGGGAGGTGTCGAGGGTAAACTTCTTGAAGCACAAACTCCAGCTGTTGTTGGTTGTTGGTGAAGCTGACCTGGAAGGTGGTGGTGGAAGACAAACAAGAAGGGTAGGGGACAGCGGGAGGTCTAGAGAACACACATATGAACGGACATATAAAACACGCGTGTGTGAGAGCACAACTTCGGAATTTTTATTTTCGATTTTATAATTGATTCTTGGATCGTTATCAAAGCCAGGGGCAGTCAGCAGGGTTCTAGGAACATTGAGGCAACAAAGTTAGGCATGCAAAAGTAAGAATCTCAACAAAGCGAACAAAAACATGTATAATTTACCAACCTCGTGCACAGAATTGCAAATATCAATGTTTTTTCCGGAGGAACGATTTTCGGCCTCAAGCGAAGGAGGTCCCGGTAGACGAGCTCAGCTCGTTGGTCGTTCAGCCTCCAGGACAAGGCGAAAGGCACCAGAGCCCCGGAGGGACTTTTTGGAGTGGGCGCAAGAAGAGTGGCCGACTTCAGCTGAGCTCCTTGGTGGGTCATAACAGTCAGACCATTGACCCGGGTGATGTTGTACTTCCGATATACACAGTGTTCAGGACCTGACTAGCTTGAATTTAACGCCGAGGTTTAGTGCGGTCTCCAAGCATACCGCATGGGCGTTGTGTGTCAAAATTAAAGTCCCTTCAACAAACTTGTGCATTTCTTTTGCGCAGAAGAGCCATTGACACCGAGGCAGCCAAGGCCGAGTACCAAGGACGTGCTTCCACTCTTCACCTTGGGCCGCAGAAACAGCGGCATCAGTTTGTTGGTGAAGTGTCGCCATGGGCAGCAAACGGTCATGCAATGGCAGAAGGAGGGCCTGATCGTCGCATGGTTGGAAGACGAAACAACACAGTGGGGGGACCCCCCTGGTCAGGTGTTCGACGTGATTCGGGACGCCACTTGTTGTGAAGTCAAGTGAATTGCTTTATAAATACGATATAGATGAATATAGATATATAACTATTTTAAGTGTGACATGAACATCAACGAATTCCAGAGAGCGACCTTTACAGCCCCAACTAGCTCTGGGTTCCGTCCTGGTTTCTGATTCGGACGACCAAGACGACCAAGACATCCATCCCGAAGGAGTTGCTCCACCGGTTCACCCGGTAAAGCGGGTGGGTTCCGGTAAGTGTCATGACGATGTCTTGCTGTGTTGATGTCGAATACATGATAAAAAAGACCGGGTCTCAAGGGGGGTTCAAGAAGTTCAGCCCCAAGGCGATGTCAAGGCATCCTTGTCCCAAGGCCATACCCAACATCACGCCATGACTCAGGAATAGCAAGGCAGGTGGAGGTGTTGTTTCGCTGTACACGTTCTTTGGCCCTATGGTGTTCAAGAATCTGCTGACGGGGTCGCTTCCCTCGGTTCCTTCCTTCGAACCAGCTTCCGGTCCCCACCCAGGCAACGCGCGTGGCTTTGCTGGTCGAAGGGCGCCTGGACGACCTGCTGCTGCGCCGCCTGCGCGAGCGCGACGGGCTGGAGGTGTCGACCCTCCGGCGCTCCGAAGGCTTGCGCCGCTCGGTGGAACGGGGGTGGCGGGACTCCTCTGCCGGGAAGGACGACTGGGTTTACGATGGCCCGCGCGCAAGCGTGCGCGATCCCGCGTGGGCGGGATTTGAGAGGTTCGGTGAGCCTCCCCAAACATCCTGAGAGGGTCGGTCAAGCTTCCTGCAGCGACCGGTTTACACCAGGGGCCGAGTGAACGGCAGGAACCTGGTGGAACCTGGTGGTTTTTCCTTGGCGCAGCGACATGGATCATGCAACCTGCGGTTGACCAGAAATACACTGTATACGGAAGTGTGGGGCGCAGGTGTTATCGCATGTTGAGGAATGACATAGCAGGCCTGTGTTGGCTGCTATTCTTTCTATTTACACTTCTTTGTTCCTTGCAGGGAGACGAGAGTCTGGTTGTTTCTTCTGAGGAACACAGACACTTTTGGCAGATTTTGACAGATTTTAAGCACGTCTCAGCTGAACTGCAATGCCCACAGTCAGAGAAGCTGGTGAGGAAACAACAGAATGTAGGCCCTGTTTGTTCTTCCCTGCAACATCCATTTTCCATCATTTTCCTAGATGGCCGCCTCTTTGACTTGCTTTGTTACAATCGAACAGGTTGATACTTATTCAAAGCATTGAACCCCCAACTAACGGAACACCCTGGCCACTCGAAAAAACACATGACTGATCATATGCCAGTCACGACTGAAGCAACGACTGAATCCGACTGAACCCGCTGCAGGACACGGCTGCTTGAGCCTCTTGCAGGTTCGTGTGAATTCGGCGCCTGTGGAGGCCGTTGCCACGCTGCGACGACGGTTCAGCGAAGAAGGGCATCCGCTGCGAGGTCCCACTGGTGGGAAGGCGTGGAGGACGGCAGGACAGGGGCATGACAGGGGGACCCGAAAGGGCAGGCTCGACAGTGGTGTTTTCAATGTTGTGAGGCGGTGGCAGCCAGGGCAGATATGAAGGCGCTGCAATTTTGAGTGAGATTGTGTGAGATTGAATCCCGGTATGTCCACTGCACGTTTGCATGTTTAATTTGTACAGGGTCTGTTTTGAGATGATCTATACTAAGGACAAAAGGTTCTCACAGTAGTACCTCCAGGTACAGTTCTTGTTTTGGGCTCCGTTTGGCCACACCCGATGGACAAAATAAGAGCAAAGGTAAAGATCATTAAAGATCTGTGATCTTCTTCATGATTCCCACCCAATCAGTGGCTAACCTTGGCTAACCTATGAGCAAAGAGAAGTCAAGGTCATCGCTCTTAGGTTGGAGGCCATTGCTATTAGGTAAAGAGGCGCTTTGCCTCCCGTCTGTTTTGAGGCGTGGAATTCCCAGGTCACGGTCAGTGGACTTTGGATGCCCCAGCTGAGTGCGGCAGTTCGTTGGGGTCTGGACCGCTTCATGGAGATGATGGACCTGGATGCTGAGCGGCTGCAGAGGCCATGGAGGGGTTATTGATGGCCCGAAAACAGACCTGTTCAGAGATGACGGAGCCCACAACCCCCTTACTGTAATTGTTTGCAGGCAAGCACGGTGCCCAAAACATGCAAAAGTCGGGTGAAGAAGGTTCCTTAAAGCACGCATCCTTGCCCAGCTGACGAAGGTTTCTTTACCAAGCAGCGCGGAGCCACGTGACATTTTTAGAGTGAGTCGGTTCATGTTGGTTACCTTTCTGGACATGATATTAGACATTCCACTTGTCACTGCATATCACATACTGTAATACATAATACACAAGGCCCATTGTCAACCTTGCCTGCAATACGCATGCGTGATAAAGTTACTGATGTCATACCAGATACCCTGCAACAAACTGCAGCTACCATCAGTTTAAACACATCAGTCAATCAATCAATCAGTCAATCAATCAACCAACCAACCAGCCAAGCAAGCAAGCAATCAATCAATCAATAGACTCAATCAACCGTTGGGCTGTGGACGCAAACAAGCAACCAATTTAAGTGTGTGGCATGCACAAGCACATCATGCTTTGTGAACCTGTCGGTGTTGTGCAGGGGGGGCCAGGCCTGGTCCAACCTGGCCCAACGAAGCTGGCATGTGACAGGGGAAGCATGAAGGGACGCCTTGATGTGTACCTGCATGTTGGTTTTCAACTTGGTGTTACTTTTGTACTTGTGTCCTGTAAACTTGTAGTGCTGGCCTCCAACCTGGGCAACGACCTCCAACCTTGCTGCTCGCGGTCACTTTTGTTTTGCTTGTGCTACCTACCACCTACTAGCGACGGCCTCCAACCTTAGGCGTTGGCCTCCAACTTCCTTGCGATGGCCTCCAACCTAAAAGCGATGGCCTCTAACTTACTACCTGTCTCCTGGTATCTTAGGCTTTTACTTAGGCCGGCGTGTGGCAAACCGCATTCAGTACGCATTTCTATAATAGTGTGTCCCCATCCGTGTCTAGGAGTGTCTTTGTTCACCTCTCAATTTGCAGGGGCGTGTGGCCCTCTTGTCCTGACCACGCGCAACGAAGCTGTGGACAAGAGGGGGAAGCGGAGCCTGATCAGCTCCGTGTACCTGCGCTGAACACAACGACTCCACTGGTACCTTTTCTCGCTGTTTTTTGATTCCATGGTTCTTTTCCTCGTGATATTTCCAAAATTTTTGCTTAGTAACTGGGGTTCCAGTTTCTAACCAGAGTCCCAGTTTTTT